CAAAACACAAGAATGGGACTACAGTGAGGCTCTTGCCTTAGATACAAAAAGCCAAAGAACTCATAAATAAAGATAAATAATATTTTAATGAATCTTTCAAAAAACAAAAGTATTGTAACAAATCATGCTAAACAAAGTGAATAAAACCAAAACAAAAAATATTCCTTAAGAAAACCACAAAATAGAACCTATATTTCCCAAATTGCCAACAAATAAATAATATGCCATTATATAATTAAATTTGTAGAAATAATCAGATTCAAGAAACAAATGGCAGATTTATTTTTATTCAGTGAGTTTACATTCTATTATAATAAATGAAATGAGCAGTATTTCAAAGTTTATAATAATCTAAGTACTTTTAAAAGTATCATTAAAGAAACAATTAATGATATAAACAATTCCTAAACTTGAAATTCATCTAGTTAATTATTTTATTGTAATTAAACTTTATAGGAAGTTACTAGGGTGAAATCTTCCTTTGATTATATTGTTAGAAAAAAGACACATATTATTGGTTACACAGAGATATTTAAATTCTAGACAGAACTCAGCAAATTGTTTATCTATGCATGCTAGCCTTGTGTTCTAGTAAAATCCCCACAAAACAGCCCTGACAAACAGTCACTAAAGTCAGGAACTTGTGAGTAAGAAGACCACTACCAGGCTTTCTCCCCCAGCACTGTCACCTTTTTAGACTCTTTTCAGGAGCTTCACATTAATTTTCTTAATGTTTTTAACCCAATGCCTGTGAAATTTTTATTGCTCCCCAGATGAGGACATTGGATCTGAATGTAACCACACACCTCTTTACTCAGCAGTATTTGTCACAACCATTATAAATTATCATGCTGATAGGTTGCCTTGCTGGGAAACTGGAAAGGTTCCATAAATTCTATCGTATCAATGACATTCTTGTTTATTATGCAGATATAAAGTTTTATGAGATTCAAGATGTCTGTGGCACCACACTTCACAACATGGAGCATTCTCTGGTGCCAAAAAGAGAACTCATCCTTCCTTCCATTTCCTTAACACCTTCTCCTCTCAGAACATTCTCTAGCCTCCTCAACATCAACATAACAATAAAAGCAGGCAAATCTAGCCAGAACTCTTAGCACAAAGTGAGCCTTGTAGGCATATGTTCTACTTAAACTCTGCTGAATGATTGATCAATACCCCTTGTTCAATAAAAGAATTCAGCAAGTTATAATACTTTAATCTGTGTTTTGACTGCTTATTTGTAATGAAAACTGATTCAGTGGTGGCATAAACATAGGCTGTTGCTTTTTAAAACCAATAAGCACAACTTGCACATTAATTTACCCTAAGGAAACAACAACCTCCAACAACCCCCTTACCCTCCCTTGCCCCGATAGGCACATTTGTATTGGGTCAGTCTTGGTGTTATACACATGAAAAGTTGTGATAAATAAATCATACAGTATATTGTTAAAATTATGAAGTAGTTTATTTAAACACAAATAAAACAGTAAAATTTAAATGAAAATTTGGTTTACTATAACTAATCTATTTTATTACTTATCCACCTCTATACCTTACAAAAAAATAATTGTTTACTTGGCTCTCAAGGATGTTTCTCAATAAGCAAATGCACTTGGGAATTTATTTCTTGAGCTTTCATATGGTAAAAGTTGACTATACAAATACTGATAGTATCAAAAGAAAATGTGGGGTGTACTACATGATCATTCCACTACTGGATCAATATATTTAGTTAGACATATGCTTAATTTTATATTTCCAAATGTTGTAACAATCACTAAGTTGTAAAGATATTATAAAAAAAATGGCAATGTCTTGCCCTAGCTAGTTTGGCTCAGTAGGCCTGTGGAATGAAGGGTCCCTGGTTCAATTCTGGTCAAGGGCACATGCCTGGGTTTTGGGCTTGATCTGCAGTGGCAAGTGGGGAGCTTTCTCTCATCATTGATGTTTCTATCTATCTCTCCCTCTTCCTTCCACTCTGAAATCAATAAAAAAATATATATTTTTAATGATAACTTCTTTTGAGGGGAGTTTTTAACTTTCAAATGGCTCTCAAAATCTACTATCTCATTATCCACTATAGTAACCTTATGACATTGGTACAAGTACATATAGTGTAGCTGAGAAATGGAAAGATTAAATATCTCAAGACAACAGTTTTCTCTTACCAAAAATACTGACCAAAAGACCTCTGATGTGATTTATTATAACTAGTTTTGTACCATTTCAAATACAATTTTGGAATTAGCCTAATATAAATTACAAAAACAAAATCCACCAGAACCAAAAGCTATGTTTTTGTGCATCTACCAAAAACTTTTGAATTTTATGAATTTGTTGTTCCAAGAGTTTCTGGTAGTTTCCATGTTTTGTAGGAAATTCTATCACCTCTCCCTTCTCTCCCCACAAAATTTAAAGCTTCTCACAGCCTTTTCAAAAGGAGGTAAAACTTCTGCCTCATTTGTAGAATTTCAACTATGACCTTCAACAATAACTAGTAACCATGTGGAGCAACCTGGAGACATAGTAACTATAATGTCTTAAGTTGGTCTTTCAATATTATTTTTTGATTTTTTATTGATAAAATGATCAGATAACAATACTTCAAAACAAGGCACAAAGATACTTTCCATGCCACAATGTTCACTGACTTCATCAGGCTAGAAATAGACTTCCAAGACTGGCTAGGAAATGGCACCTTCATGAGAACAAACTTTCAGTTATTATAATTAAGAAATAACCTTACTCTAACATTTAAAAAAAATCACCATCATAATTACTGAAACAATATTCTTGGCCACATCAGTTCATGTTTTGCTAACATCACTAAAATTATCTCTCCCTAGAAAATACAATTACCCATTTTCTTCTCATCTTAAAAAAAACAACAACTAAAATTCCACCATATCCTACCTCATACCATGGTATGGCAAATGTTTATTTAAGGCTTACTGTGTGCCAGACTCTGCTGTAAGCACTTAATGTGTATTAACGCACTCAACTAGCTTCCCTTTTTTACATTTCTACTCCAGTTTTGTCCTGGAGCTGGCTTGCACCAGCTCACAAGAACCAACTATGCACATCTCTTTGTGGCTCTGTGCACAGTGATATCACAAGGGTAGTTTAAAATTGGCCATGGAGGGAGTATTTATACTACAGAAATTGTCAAACATTTACCAGCATATCACAGCTAATAACTACTGACTATTCTGAATTCTTTAATTACTATATTACACATATACATGGTAATAATTTTCATATCAGAAATTAGTAAATGTGAGTTTAATGAAATTTAATAGCACCTTATTTTGGGGAATATTTCTTGAATATGTTTTATCAGAGTTTCTTAAAAACACTCCTATAGCATTTTAACAATTGTCAAAAAACAAAAATAAAATCGAAACAAGTCTCTAGGCTATCTAGGTGATTGACAATGTAAAACCCACTGTACAGAATACTGACTCCCCTCCAAAATACAATAAACTGTTTCTTAGCAGTCACTGTAATACTCTATTAATGACAACTTTCACACAAGATTTAAAAAGTCAATTTAATATCCTGAAGCACTTCTGAATCACAGGACAGAGATTAAATTAGAATCAACATAATTTTATTGTAACTGTAGTGTATGCTGATTACTTGGAAATTGATCAACAGTACATGAATTGCTAATTCTGTATGCTAGAATATTGAATTAACATTCTAGTTAACCAGATAAAGTTGATACCCTGCCCATGAAAAATTAGTTTACCTCACCAACTCAACATGCTGTTGAGGACTTATTACAAGGGGTGAGGGGAGGTATTTTAATATTATTTTGTTCTTTTCTAAAAGGGTTATGTGTTTTCAAATAGAATAGTTTTAATAATGAGTATGCCTATATAATAATGTTGATATCCAGTGAAAGTAGTAATCTAAATATATTGTATACAATGATATCAAACTGACCCATTTTAAAACTTGTGAAACATATTCCTGAGAGACACTTTAGAATTCAGATTTAACTGATTGTTTTCCTTTGTTCAAACTATTTATATGTCTAAACTTCATTTAAAAGCAATATCCAGGTTCAAATCTCTGGAGAATACACCGTAAGCAGTAGGGCAGAGTGGGATGATGTGGACAAAACAGAGATGGGGTTCTGTAGGCTGTCCAGAGAGAAGAGTAAATCTGGATCTTTGTGGACTGCTGCCTGCAGTGTCAACACTTCCCCTCCATATTGTGGGAAACTGAACACCAGCTTGTTCACATAAAGTGGGGAAATATAATTTAGACTCTCTTTATAGTGTGAGTGTTTTCATAATAATGAAATCTGGCACAATAACTTAACAATGCTTAGTAACTTAACAATAGAAGGAGATAGCAAAACTAAAGCAGATGGGTGAAATACGATTCATATTTGAGACTCCTTTTACTCAATGAGCATTAATAATTATTTTACTCATGGTCAATAAGAGACTTGCTATTGTTTATCTACATAAAAATTCCCTTATCTAATTTATCCTATATTCCTTTTATTTTCAATGACAATTTTCTTTTGTCAGGCCAATAAGATAGAGTTCTTAAATTACAAAATATGCTACAGATTTATTACAAAAATATCCAATATTACTGTTTTTCAACATTTACCACAAATGTTAGTAACTCCCAATATTTAATAAAAACTCAAATGAAAGTTTAGGTTTCTAGTTCTCCTTTCCGGATGGGGTTTGAGGGAAAACACATGTTTATAAATTTCTTAAAAGCATTTCAAAACCAAAAGTGTTAACAGGAAAAATAATACGAGTGATTGCACATTTAAATATAATCTTCCTAGTTTGGCGAACTCAGAAATCACTTAACATAATTTAATTTCCATACCCACTGACATGTTATCTGGCCTAGACTCCTGGATTCATTTATATCCCAGATTGTACACACAAACTGACCCCCGTTAGACATCGCGACCACTAGATGGTGCTGTGGTGCCCCGTTCAAATAATGTTCTCACTTACTTGCAGTCTCGGTCCTCCAAATCAAAGTGAGGGTTGAAGTTGATCATAATTCTCTGGTATGGTTCGGGAGCCTGAATCAACCATTCACATTTTTCACTTGGATGATAAGAATGAGGATAACCAGGAGATGTAAGGTACCCGGGGTTTTCAATTTTTATAGTACTGCCACATTTATCTGTAATAAAAATTACATTTTAGTAGATCTTTCCCAGACAACAAGTTAGATATTCTAGCATTGTATGTAAATTACCAGCTATTGAGCATCCCATAACTTCCTATGGAGAACTCTGACAGGTCCCAGCTGGTCCTTCAGGTGGTTCATATACAGATAGTAACACCCCACAAGGAATGCTCTTTGATCCCAGAAAAGGTTGGATCAGGAGGAAAGTGAACTGAGATTTAAAATGACTGGATCCCAACCCTCCCCACCCCCCCACAAACTTCTGTCCCGAGAAAAAGGTCTTCTAGCATTAAATACAAAAACAAAAACATGAAGTCCCCTCAATGGATGTTAACAGGGTCCCCAGGGAGCTTCTGCTAGACTTAATTACCCACAAGAAGTGTAATCAAATTAAGTAGCAAGTTCTAAGTGGAAGGTGACTACATAATGCTATTGGAACCCTTGTGTAGCTTTTGATGATAAGCTTGGTCTGTGTCATTGGTCAGTGGGGATTGGCTTCCAAGACAAATCTTTTTTGTTGTTCTATCTACCTGTAAATCTAAATGATTGTGTGTTATCTCTGCTCCATTCAGATTAACACAGAACAAAGTCTATTTGGTGAAGCAGAAATAATTCTACTCTTATTTCTCCATGTAAAGTTGCTGGGGCTGAGAGACCAGATCAAAATAATAGGGCAGAAGAAAAATAATTCCAATTATCTACATGTTGAAAATATCCAGCACACTAAGATCTGTCTGAAAATACATATGGTAAGCCCCATTCTCACATTCTGGGAAAGGTGAGCTAACTAACTCTTTTTGAGACTCCCTTGTAAAAAAAAAAACAACACCCAAATGCTGAAATGATTCATTAATTAAATAAAACAGTCTCCAGGCTGATTTCTTGGTCAGCATAGATTCTCATTGTCACTTTTTATGATGGGTTTCATATTCAGCCTGAAATGCATCCACATTTATTGATGCTTAATTTTGAGCAATAAAAATTCAGTGAAAGAGGAACAGGTATGAAAGCAGTGAAACATATAAGCTTATCAATCACAAATTTTCAATAATGGTATATATAGATTTTAATATTGCATCTAATAGATTGTTTCTCTGTGGAAAGAGAATAGCATTCTTTGCTCTCAGCATGAATTTACAAGTCTACAGAATTTTATTACAGGAAAACCAGGTCAAATGGAAATGAAAGATGAAGTGCACATCAAAAATGCATAAAGCTACATGCATTACAGAAATCATTTCCCATAAATTAAAAAGAAGACAATATAAATTACATTGTTTTTCTCAATTGCTGGATGTTTCTATATTTCTTAGACTAGGTATGGCACACTGGTTTCCTCTGCCTTGGCTTTTAAAAGCTTAAGATTTGCCCAGAAGAAATGATGTTGCAACTGGAGTTCAGAATCTCAGCTAATGATCATATTAGACGTTGCTGTGTGATTCTATTCAGGCTCTTGCTTTATTTTAAATGGGGGGGGGGGGGGAGACAAACAAAAAAAACCTTGGAAAGTGACCTTATCTCATTAGTCTCCTCCAGCTCTGTATGGATATCATGGCATAGTCTGGTATCTGTTAGAGGAGTGAAATAAAACAGCACTGCTTCTAGTCACTCGACAGAGTCACTGCAGAAGACATTTAGGTGGCCTCAGTACCACACCAGAGCTCTTTAATCTGTGACTTCTGAGAAAGTGACAGTGTAATAAGATAATGTGGACTGCTAGACTCCCTGGCTCTGTTCAATCTCTCTAGCAGTTGCTAGCAGTTGATTAAGAAAGAGCAATTTCTAATGACTCTGAACCATTAGTCCTAAATAAGGTTAATGAATTAATTTAGCAGACACTGGGACTCACAGGAGGTGGACATGGCTTTAAGAGGTCTGCTGAGCTACTGAAGTTGTGGTCACTACAAGCACAGTAACATAGCTTTAACTTATCAAACTAAGGTTCTTAGATTCCCCGGATTTCTGCTAAGAAAAGAAAAGAATATATATATATATATATATATATATATATATATATATATATATATATATATAATATATTAGGTATCCCCAAAAATATGCACAGATTTTGAATAATTATAAAGGCAGTGCTTATTAAAATGCATTTCATTTTCAAAATTGAACTATCAGCTGTTAAAGTGTGTGTACATTATTTGGGGGGGACACCCTGGAGAGAGAGATAGGTCACAACCTCAACTCTGAAAGCTATTTGCATTAGGTTTCAAATCCATCCTGTGAACATCACTACTGATTTAATCTCAGGAGTTGGGGAGGGTGAGTTTCTGTAATTTCTAAACTCTAACCACCTGAGCTCTTGCAATTGGAGGAGAATGTTATTTTATCACCTGCCAATTATAAAAATATGCCACGACCTCAGGTTCAGTACTAAATTGAACTCTGCATTTGCAGATGTGTGTGTGCATGTTTTGTTCCCAAGCCTATCTTTCAGAACACTACTTAGTAGCTGTGGGGATGGAATTTATAGTTTCAATCACAAAACCTCCAAAAAGCATATTAGAAAGATTAACTTCCATCATAAAGACGGGATTTAAATCCCTCCTGGTCTGAACACCCTCCACTTGTGGTCTCTTATTAAAACAATATACCACAATAAGTAATGGATGGGCTTTTCTTCTAATTACTTTGATTGAAATCTAAACCAAACAAGAGTGTGCGTGTGTGTGTGTGTGTGTGTGTGTATATATATATAGTCTTTATTGTTGAAAATATTACATATGTCCCCTTTTCCCCCATTGCCCTCTCCTCCCCTCCCCCAGCCTTCACCACCCAAGGAGTAAATATTTGATAATTAGTTAATAATAATTGCTGAAGAATCACTATAAAGATAATTTCATATATTTCACTTCACAGAGTAAATGAAACATGCCTACAACCAGATCACACATTAAAACACAGTTTTTAGGTTACAAGATACTGTTTATAGCACATTACAGTGATCCATTTACTCAACAGTGAGTCCTTGCAAAGCTAAGTGGAAGCTGCAGCTAGGTTAGGGATTTGCAAATACCCGGTGCCTTACACTGTCTACATCAGATTCCTGTATTGACACCATAACTTTTGTTCCTGCTCCAGACGGATTAGGGACGGTTTACAAAGGCGGGAGAAGGAGTTTCATCAATCAACCAACCAACCGCTATCTCTCAGAGGCATCCACCAGAGGAAACGGTTTAGGGAAGCTGAAGAGAACTAGGGAGTGCTGGTAAAGCCTTCATTCACTTTCAACAGCCATTAGATTTTTGAAAGCATGTCTCATCTAATTGCCTTTGGGAGGAAACATTATTAAGGTAATTGGTGTGTTGATCTGGGAAGGTAGGCAGAGCTGCCTTGCAGCAGAGAGAGGTAAACCCCCATAGCCAGACCACAAACTTCAGGAGGGAGCCAGAAGGCTTAAAACATTCCTGCCCTAAACCGACCGATCTGATGTCTTTATTTTTCAGCCTGGGTAAAAGTTTCCTTCGCCCAAGAGGTGGCTCCTCCGGGTTCGTTCCAGGACTCAGAGCTGGGCGGGCGGGAAACCCAGCCCGCGGACCGGTGGCCTGAGCCGGGCGGGCGCCTCCCGCGCCTCGCCTGTCACTTACCGTTGCGGAAAGCGCCGGCCTGGGCAAGGGCGAGCGCGAGCGCGGCGCCGAGGAGCAGCAGCCCCCGCTCCATTCTCCCCAGCCGGTCCCGGGCAGGTTCGGGAGAACAAGGACGGGCGGGGAAAACCGAGCCAAAGGGGGAATCTAAACAATCCGGCGCTCTCAGGTCCGCCCGGAGCAGTAGGATCCCCAGTGCCTCTTGGAGAAAGGAAAGCGGTGAGGCAGGGACTTCTTCCGAGAGCAATGCTTCTCTTCTTGTGTCTCAAGTCTCCTGCATCCTGTCATTTAGCTTCGGCTTCCTCTCTCTTTTCCCACACTTGTTCCTCTTCCAGGAGCCACTGCCCGGGCCATGTCTCCGAGGGGGAGGGGCGGGGGGGGTGCGTGGGAGGGAAGCACACACCAAAGCCAATTTCCAGAAAGGAAAAATAAATCCGGCTTGTCTCTGGACCCGGTGGAGCCCGGAGCTGGCGCCCAGGGGAGGTCCGGGTGTCTGCGTGCAGGAGAGGAGCGAGCAATGAGAAAAGCGGAGGCAGAGGAGTTTCACCAACTGCAGCCTCCTCCCTTCCCCCTCCCCTCCCTCCTCCACACCACTTCCTCCCTCCCCTCCCCTCCAGGAGCCCTTCCCCCCACCCCCCGCCCCCCGCCCCGCACTGGCCGGTCTATCTGCGGGGAGAGGGAGGAACAAGTTTCCCTGCGAGTGCTTTCGCGTCCTCTGGCCAGTGTCTCCCGGAGGCCCCGCTGGGACCTCCAAGGCGGGGAGGCGCTAGGTCCGCCCTCGGGGCCTGTGTGCTTGGGGAGGGGGGCATCAAGGTGGGCCAGCGGTGGGGTCGGGCCTACTGGTGTGGGCGCACTTGCTCGCGACCCCAGGGACCCAGCGAGCAGCTCCCTGAGGGTCTGCAGCTCCCGCCGCCCGGAGCGGAGCGCGGAGCGCCAGGGGGCGGTGGCTGCTTCCCCAACTCGGAATCCCCGCCGCGTCTGCGGGGCGAGGAGCGGGAGCCAGTCCCCGCCACTCCCCGCGGCGCCGCCCAGACCTGTGGCGGGAGCTGAAGGGCCACCCTGGACGCCCGGGGCCGGGACTGCCGGGACCGGGATCGAGCGCAGCTGAAGTCCCCCCAGCGCCGGGCGGGGGGCGGCCGTGTCGCTGCCACAGGCGGCCGCGCCAGACCCGCCTCCCGGCTCCGCTTTCGGTGCGCAGGGTGCCCGCTCCTCCGGGCCGCCCGGAGACGGCGTCCGCTCCTCCGGGCCGGCGGGGTGCCGGGGCGGCGGGGTGCCAGCTGGGGGAAAGGGGAGCTGTCTCCCGCCCCCGCCCACCCTCAGGTCTCGGAGCCCAGGCGTTCGGGGCTTGGAAATAAGAGGTCCAGGGCCCCGGTTTTGTGCACCCCACGGGAGGGGAGCAGTGGCAGCGGGGGAGGGTTTGCTCCTGTCAGGGTCCTAACGGCGCCCTCCCCGGGACTCAGGCCTCGGTCACCCCGCGTGGCCCTCTAGCTCCCGCCCACGTTCGCTTCCCCGGCCGCCGCCTCCTGTTCCTTCGCCGAGGCTTTCCCAGAACCGCCGCAGAAGGCCTCTGAGGACATGAATGGGAAGGATGTTACAGGAAATAAGCTGGCTTTGTCCACTGATTAGGCCCCGGTGTGGGTCAATGCCCGCGGTCCCCTCCTGGGGAAGGGTGCCCGTCACTAACCTCCGGGGAACTGGCATGTATGTACCCACGCGAAAGCAGAGCCTTATTCCTAACCTGGTGCAAGGAACTGGCAAAGGCGATTGGGAATGTTGGCAAGCAGACTCTGGCCAAAGGTTTTGGAGGAAGGACTAGGGGCGGGACAGGAGAAAGGGAGCTCCAGACTCCTGGGCCCAAGGGCTGGGACTTGGCGCTCAGAGAGCCCAGGATGGGCGGGGTGATGCGTGCCCTCAGGGTGCACCCTACTCCCTCCCTCTCTCTCTCTCTCCCTCTCCCTCTCCCTTTCCCTCTCCCTCTCCCTCTCCCTTTCCCTTTTTCCTCCCCCTCCTACCCTCCTACTCCAGGGTCTAGCTTTCCTTTCTTATCCCCTAGGTTTGCCTGCCAGCTTTCCCAGTTCACTGGAGCGGGGAGGGAAGGTGGCGGGAGAGGCTGGGAGTCCAATGACAGGGCTGAGCGTCAGAGGCCTGGTGCAGACCCGCACCCCCCCTCCCCCTTTCCCCAGGCCGCTGAGCGCGGAGGGCGGGCGGGAGGTGAGGAGGGGGCGCCAGCCGCGCCCAGAGCATTCCCCGGGGAGGAAGTGCTGCAGAAGAAACCCCGATGCCTATCCTTAAACCTCTATAACCTCTTAGCGGAGTGCAGCCCCACCAGTCCTCCGCTGTGTCACAAGGCGAGTGGCACAAGCATATTTGAGGTGCCTCGGATCTACTCACCCTGAGGCTGGGAGGCAGGCACCAATCAAAACCTGGTAGATTGGTAGATCCAGGAACCAGGCGGGTGCTACGGCAGGGGCGTCCTGGAGTCACAGGACTCAGGCCGCTTGTTCCAGGAGCTGGATTTCATGCCTGGGCGGGGTGAGCGAGGGGACACAAGCCAAAGACTTGAGCTGTGTAGTGTTAGAAAACTACCTCAGCCAAAGGAGATATATGCATACATATTAGCATAACCAATGGACACAAACTTTGGGGAGATGCGGGCTTGGCCCTGGTGGGAATGGCTGGGGGGTGGGGGTGGGGGGGCGGGGAGGAGTCATTGGGGGAAAAGGAGACATGTAAAACTCATGTAAAACTTTAGACAATAAAAAAAGGAAGGAAGGAAGGAAGGAAGGAAGGAAGGAAGGAAGGAAGGAAGGAAGGAAGGAAGGAAGGAAGGAAGGAAGGAAGGAAGGAAGGAAGGAAGGAAGGAAGGAAGGAAGGAAGGTGAAAGAAAGAAAGGGAGGGAAGGAGGGAGGGAGGGAGGGAGGAAGGGAGAGAGAGAGAAGAAAAGAAAGAAAGAAAGAAAGAAAGAAAGAAAGAAAGAAAGAAAGAAAGAAAGAAAGAAAGAAAGAAAGAAAGAAAGAAAGAAAGAAAGAAAGAAAGAAAGAAAGAAAGAAAGAAAGAAAGAAAGAAAGAAAGAAAGAAAGAAAGAAAGAAAGAAAGAAAGAAAGAAAGAAAGAAAGAAAGAAAGAAAGAACGAACTACCGCTAATCTTTCTTCCCCTTTCCCTGCTGAGTGTGCATTTCCCAGACTGGACCCAATCTGTTAACAAATAAAGCCACCAGGTCCTGCATTCAAACAGGGCCTGTCCTCAGGCTGAAACCCCCATCCTCTCTCCCTCCCCCCTGCCTCTTGAAGGGCTCCTCCAGGGGGTCCCTGGGCAGAAAATGTCTGTCTTTCTTGCTCACCAGCTGAACACTTTTACCAGGCTTTCTCCAACAATGAAACCTGCACTATGTTCTCTGGAGGAAATATTATATTTAAGTTCTGCCTCAAATTTTTCTCATCTTGGCTGATTTAAGGTGTTTCTAGAGTCCTTAGTTTCCACACAGCGCTGGGTAATGGAGCCCTACTGCACTGATTGTTAATCGCCAGCTAGTGGGTTTGTAGAGGGCAAATTATGCTTGCTAACAACCTCTTCCCTCTGCTGTTGGACTGCAATAGCTGCTGAAAGGGTCAGTGTTGTATTTCTGCAATCCTTCTGCAAGGAAGACAGACCAATCTTTATAGGAGAATAAGTGATAGAGAAAAAATTTTGTCAGTGTTCCTGGGTTGATTTTATTTTGGACTCAGGAATACATAATCCTTCCTGACATCACCAATTCCCAGACTAGATAGGACCCAATTCCAGTGAAGGGAAGATTCATGGATCATATACCCAGGAGGACAAACAGGGGCGCCAGGGGCCCCACGCAGGGCTGCTGCAAGAATAAGGTACTGGGCTAGAAATGGACTGGGTGGTGTCCTGGCTGGGTAGCTCAATTGGTTAGATCATCATCCCCACAGGCCAAGGTTGTGGGGACCACAAGGTTGTAGGTTCCATCTGGTGAGAGCACATACAAGAATCAATCAATGAATGCATAAGAGAGACAACAAATCCATGTTTCTCTCTCTCTTCCTCTCTCTCTAAAAAAACAATAATAACAATATTATTAATAACAATAAGGATAGATTTGGTAGTAACTATTTGGTTTCTTTCTTCAACTTATTAATTTGTCAAAAATTAGATAAGATCCATCGCTCCCAGAAACCCCTTTGAGCCACAAACTTTCTCAAAGTTTTTCAGGTTGGTATTTCAAAAACAGTGTCGATTTAAAAAAAAAAAATATATATATATATATTTTATTGATTTTCCACAGAGAGGAAGGAAGAAGGATAGAGAGCTAGAAATGTAGATGAGAGAGAAACATCCACCAGCTGCCTCCTGCACCCCCTACCGGGGATGTGCCTGCAATCAATGTACATGCCCTTGACCAGAATCGAACCCGGGACCCATCAGTCCACAGACCAACGCACTATCCACTGAGCCAAACCAGTTTCGGCAACAGTGTCAATTTTTAAAGCACCAGAACCACATATTTCAGAAAAGCAACAAAACATTTTTATTAGGAGCTAATTTATATTTGAAATGTGTGGCTGAATAAAGTAAAACCAAAAAAGATTAAAAAATAGAATTTAAATTACTATTATCTAAAGTAAAATTATTAAGAATGGCACTTCCATCAAATGATTGATTATTCAAGTGGTATATTTTGGACCTTATTTAAAGTTATCTTCTTAATTTGAATTGGCAGAGGAAGGAAGAAGATAAACACATAAAATTTTACTCTCTGATCCTTCATTTTTGGTTCTTTTCAAAGTTACCTTAAACATTTTTCAAATATTGGAGAAAACACTAACTCTATAAAACTTTTTAAAAATATATTTTATTGATTTTTCTTACGAAGAGGAAGGGGGAGAGATAGAGAGCTAGAAACGTCTATGAGAGAGAAACACTGACCAGCTGTCTCTTGCACACTCCCCACCGGGGATGTGCCCGCAACCAATGTACATGCCCTTGACTGGAATTGAACCTGGGACCTTTCAGTCCGCAGACCGATGCTCCACCGCTGAGCCAAACCGACTTCGGCTAACCCTATAAAT